ATTGAATATGCAACTGAAGATTTGAAAATGTACTATTTCAGTGGTAAATTCATTTCTAAAGATTTGGTTTACATGCTAATCAAAAATTTTATTACAATCATATTGCTTTTTTATAAGTATTATTAATATGCCAGATAAATATTCTTGTGAGTAATATCATATATATCACATATACATTGCATATATATATATATATATATATATATATATATATATATATATATATATATATATATATATATATATATATATATATATATATATATATATATATCTATATATATATTACATACTTATCATATACTCATAACATATTTATCATATACTCATAATTTTTCCATATATTCATTACATATTTATCAAACTCCTACTAACCCATAACATGGCGAACAAATTCTGCAGGTTCTCTTGGCTTCCACTCTTTTCTTGGTTCAGGTATGTAAGGCTCTTTTGTCTAAGTATAGAAACAATAACTTTTTCATAAGTATATAAAGATGCAATATAAAGTATACAAACTAAAAAGATCTTTTAATATTTTTAACTTTTCCTCTTGTACTGATAGTAAAAGCAAACAAATAAATTAAAAAAAAAAATACCGGATCACTCATCAACTTATCAATTTTTCGTCTTTGTATGTCTGTAACAGTGTTGCATACCACAACTTCTTTTGTTTTCTTATTTTTATTTACTTTCTCCAACTCAGCTTTAATTTCTTCAGGTTTTTTCCCTTCTTTCTTTAACATTTCAATTTTCTCTTTAATTCGCTGCTCTTTCCTTAACTCAACTTCATTTAGTATTTCCATGTTTTATTTTTACCTTTATTATGTATTTTAACTAACTAAATATAATTAAAATTTACTTAATATAAATGTAAAAAAATTGGCAAAGGAAAAACATTTTATTTTAAAAGTAAACAAAAAGAAAAAATTTTAAGACTCTTTTCTTTAATTAACAAATATCTAATATGTTAATAATTCAACTTTTTAACTAAACTATATTTAGCAATTCCATCCAAGATTGCTTCCAAAATAATATCTCAAAGCAGAAAAATAAGTTAAATAAATTAATAAAAAATAAAAAAAAAATTGATGTTTTTGTTTATATACATTAGGTATAATTACAAGGTGCTAAAGAAAAAGTTGTTTAACAAACTTCAAGCAAAAAAATTTAATACAAAAAGTATCAACAACAACAACAACAACAAAATATCAACAACAACAACAAAATAGCAGCAACATCAACAGCAGTATCAAAAACAACAATAATTTTGAGTTCACATGACAGCCATACTGCACTCAACTTGTAACTTCATGCATTACTCTTGTCAAACACTCTAAACATATTAATATTCCCTTGTCAGACAACCTTGTCAATACTCATTTTTCAAAGTAAAATGGTTAAGATAAAGTTGTAACAACAATAAGAAAAAATTTAAAATGTAAAAAAAAAACCTTTTAAGCTATATTGGTCCTCCCAGCCAGGGATGAAAACGCAGTAAAAAAAATAAATGACAATAACAATAAAATGTCAACAGCAACAAAAACAAAAAAAGATTTTGTTTCTATTATAATAATAAAAAGGTTTTACAATTTTTTATTTACATCAGTAATTACATCATCAAACTTGTGTTCAAGCTTGTCTTCTTTAATTACAGCAGTTTTAAGATTGTGTTTTTTCATTACGGCAGATTCAAAATTTGCTGCTTTAAATACAGCACAATGCGCAAGAAATGTCACATGGTCACCTAAAATTAAACAAAATATAGAATATAGGATTTTATATCACAAGCTCAGTGCAAAAAGGTTGTAACTGACAGTTTTGCGAAATGGAGAAAGCAAGGTTTGAAATTTGATATGTCTTGCATAAATCAAGGAAAATCCAAAATTTTCTAATTGTTGTTATTATAAAATAATCTTGCTATCATAAAATAATGTCTTCTTAATTATGTAAAACTTAAGCAATCCAATCAGAAGATTAAATCTAAACAATATAAAACCTAATTTTTCATGTTACATATGGAGCATTTTGGGAACCATACGCAGGTAATTCAAAGGCTATATAATATTATACACTTGTCCCAATTTTTGCCAATCAGTTAAAATGTTAATATTATGTCAGTTACAACGTTGATATTATGTCAGATACGATATATATTTTGAGCTATAAGCCCGCAATATAAAAATAACTAAAATAATTATCAATATGTTAACATATATGTGCGTATTTATGTGAGTACAAAACATTATTGATAACATCACGCTAAAAAAATCATTGGCACGGAAAATGCATCAATTGAAAGTAGTATGGAGCCAATAGTAGACTTTCTCCTACACATGATACAAACGATTTATTTTAATACTTTTTTTTTCATAATTTTTTTTTTAAATTGAATTCTGGACTCGAAATCTATATTGATGATACTATTTTAGGTCAACTATTGTCTGTAGACCTTATTTGTTATTTCAATTTTTTGCAGTAATGGATATCATTCATATTACTTATCCCCTCAGTCTAAACAAGCCACCAACTATGGAAATTTTATTGTGATATGATTAGTGAATAAAGAAATAAGACATACCAACACCAACAGTTTTTCGATCTATAAACTCTTTCATAATTCTCTTTGTCTTTATCTCTATATTAGAAAATTTTATAATTAAAAGTTTAACAAGTTTATAATAAAAATATTTTTTAGTTTACATAATCCATTTTATGCATGCAAATATTCATTATTTTTTACCTGGAAGTAAAATAAAAAAGGTCAAGTTTTAAATCTTCAAAAATGTTAAAGAACATCCTAACTACAAAAGTACAAGTCTTGGGGAGTCTGTTACTTTTGAACCCAAATATTGTTTTTTTTTTCTCTGCAAAAGCTGAGTAAAATTTCCGTGTCAATTCACCTTGTCACTATACATCTGATATTTTGCTAAATTCCTGGGTCTGAGTCATTTGACATGGAACTACCCTAAGATGACCTTTATTTTAGATAATTCTTGATAGAGTTGTATTTTTTTTTTCATTATCAGGAGAAACAACTCAGATATATCAACAGGATCCCTCAAGACAGATAGGAAAAAAAAAAGCAAGAAAAAAAAGTAATAAATTCTTTTAGCTTTTAAAAAATAGAAAAATATGAAATTAAAAATATTTTAATTTTATAAAAATGAAATGAATAAATGTGCGTAAATGTGGGTAAAGGGTGCCAGTTGGAAAATGTAAATGTAAATTAGTTTATTAAATGTAAATAAATTTATCAAATGTGAATAATTTATGAAAAATGTTAACTAATTTACTAAATATAAATTAATTAGTTAAATGTAAATTACATAATAAAAAAAAATAAAAGCTAAAAAATAAATAGCTAAAAAAATTACTGAAGTAAGTAGAGAAGCTGCTATAAAGAAACAACTGAATAGATGTCACCTTATTCTTATTATGAACATAATTTACATTTGTATCAAGAAACAATTGAATACATGTCACCTTATTCTTATTATGAACATAATTTGCATTTGTATCAAGAAACAATTGAATATCTACATGTCACCTTATTCTTATTATTAACATAATTTGCATTTGTATCAAAAAAAAAGTTTATTAATTTAAAAAAAGTTATTTGAGTTTATCAAGCTTGTTTAAAAAAAAATTAATTTATAACTAAAAAATTCAACAATAAATAAACATTTAGCTTTTTTTAAACAACTCTTTATAGTTTTAAATAACTCTTTTTTAATCCTAATAATTTCTTCTTTGAGTATTAAAAACAACTAATCAAAATTTAAATTCATTTTCTTGAAAATAAAGTTCTTTAGATTTTTATGGATTTTGATGGATCGAAATTTTAATTTCTTTGGACAAAATGACACTTTATTTTTCAATCGAATGTCTGGAATGTATTAAAACCCTGAAAAAGTTTGAAAAAAGTAGCTCATTGTTTCTTTTATATATATATATATATATATATATATATATATATATATATATATATATATATATATATATATATATATATATATATATATATATATATATATATATATATATATATCACACCCACGCTGAACCAGATTTTAGTTTGATGAAATGACATAGGGTTGTGTCATACCTTTTTGAAATTGTTAGAACCATACCATTCAGGGAAAGTTAGTGAAAAAAATCATAAAACTAATCTTTAAAAAATATTTTGGTTTATACAGGGGTCAAATAGGGTCCCGAACTTAGGCGCCCCTCTAACTGATATCAAGACCCACCACAGGGGTGCATGCAATTGTTGTACATTTTGTCAGAAAATATGACTAGTCGTTATATGTCCCCCTCAGATGGGTCTTAAAAGCAGTCTGAGGGGCGCAAATACCGAGTACTTTTTCCTTCTTAAAATTAAAAGGGAAAAAAAAAACATTATTTTTAGAAAATATTTATTAAGCATTATTTAAATGTTTTCCATTGAAACTAACTACTGCTTTTTTCAAATACTTTGCATACTTTTGATGGTTATCAGACACTTTGAAACGTTCCCAAGCTTCTTTTAGAAATGAGTAGTAAAAAGCTTCCCCTGCTTGTTCAGTAAAGCAACCCAATCCAATGTCCTAATCTATACAAAAAGGACCTACATGTTGAAATATAATGTGTAACTTCACAGTAATTGTCTTTTCATAATCTTCCACTAAGGTTGAATAATGATTCTTAAATAACCGGATGTCTTTTTCTAATGTTGGCCTTAAATTTACACCAAAACAAGAGTGAACAAGGTTTTCCAGAAGCCTGAATGCTTCAGCTAATGGTTTTAATAGGACTGGAAACAAGTTATAGTACTTCACCCAATTTTTTAATATTTTTTGACAACTATTACCATTATATGACCCATTTCTCATTGATTTAGAACTATTTAAGTCATTTTCGATCTTTTTTAATAGTACTGGATCAGCTAATTTGTTTATTGTTTTAAAGATATGGTTTGTTGCCCCTTCCATCAAATGAAGTTCTGGAGGAGAAAGATGATTAACAACTAGATCATTATCATCAACAATTAAAAGAACTTCATTAATACAGTTAAAATATTCTTTTGCTCTAATTTTCTTTGATCAGCTCAATTTATACAATTTACTGCTTATTCTTAGTGACCCAAGTGTTCGTAACTCAGTGCAATCATTTTTAAAAACCTCTGTTCTGTTCCATGTACAAATATACCACGGATGAGTTGCCATGGAACTCGGAGACATACCACACATGACTTGACAGAGTTTGATATATGCCACACAAGTAAAGTTTATTTTATCCAAACAGAGTTTGTTAAGCAGAATTTTAACATTATGGTTTGTCTCTGGTACATTTGGTACCAGTGCTATAATAAATGATGCTTTCACAGATCCTTCCTTGAAATTTGGTGATTTAATTTCTCCATATTTTCTCTTTTTGTTTTTAATTGTTTCACTAGGATTTGATACAAAATTTAAGCAAACCTGAATATTTTATAATAAATTACACTTTTTATTATTTTTAATTATAAAGAAAAAGTGGCACATTATAAAATCAAATTACCTTAAGAAATCCCCGACCTCCGTCAATGGAAATTTTTATATACTGGTTTTAAGGATAGGCTCCTTTTTTATCTATTATTTGCCACAGAAACTCATTGACATCTGTTGTTCTGATAAATGGAGTTTAAACAAACTTTTTTCCTCTACAGATTTAATATTAAAAAGTTCAAAATCCTCAACAAAACAATCATCAAGTTGCTGGTCAATACGTTTGAGCTCTGCTGCTAACCCTGATTGTACAATTTTTCTATTTTGTGTTTTGAATCGTTATTCTTTTGCTGGCTTTAAAATTTTGTGTTACTTAATTCTAAAGTTGATTGTATGTCAATCTTACTGTTTATAGACAGTTGTTGTATATTACTAGTATCATGGTTTCTCTTAAGTGTAAAACTTACTTTTTTACCACCAGTAGCAAGTATCGCTTTACCCTTTTTGTCTATTTTGTCTTTTATTAAAGAACTAGCTATTTGTTCAATTGTCTTGACATTATTTGCAAGCTTTTGCATTACATTACATTTAAGTACAGCTAAAGAGCATTTGTGGGTAATTCCTTTGCTAATAATTGAAAAGCAAGTTTGACAAGTTAGACTAATAACTGGAGGTTGCGAGTTACATATACGTCCCTTTTTGAATTTTTTAAGTCTTCCTTGGGTAGACCCAATTATACATATTTTGCATTTACATACAAAAACACTTCTAGTTTAAACGGGTAATTTCATTTTATTCTACTTTACGTGTAAAGCTCTTTTCCTCTTCTTATACTGCTTTTGCAAGATTCGCAAATAGCTTAAGGATATAATGAATTTTTAATGTTGTATTTAAAATTCACTAAATTTTTAATCCACGGTACATTAATATCGTTAAGTTTATTTGTTTTTTTGGCACAATATAAACACACTTTTCTCCTGTTTTCCTCATGAGTACAGGTCGGTTTAAATAAACTCATTCTATCTAGAAAAATAAAACAATTTAAGAACACAGAGAAAACACACTTTTTATTATACCTAAAATATAAAGATTTATATACCATATAATAATTCTTTAAAAAATGTTTCAAACACTTTACAAATATAACATAATATAATACAAATATAAATGCTGACTATTACAGCATATAGGTTCCTTATTAAATTCCATTTAACATTACTTACAAGCGTTGTTTATTATACTTCAATTTTTAAGGTTAAAACAAAATGAAAATATGCAGAATTAAGAAGTTTCATTACTCATGTGTTAATGATGAGTTGTCGTCTGTTTTAAATAAATGATGAGTTGTCGTCTGTTTTAAATAAATGATGAGTTGTGGTCTGTTTTAAATAAATGATGAGTTGTGGTCTGTTTTAAATAAATGATGAGTTGTCGTCTGTTTTAAATAAATGATGAGTTGTTGTCTGTTTTAAATAAATGATGAGTTGTCGTCTGTTTTAAATAAATGATGAGTTGTCGTCTGTTTTGCATTGTTCAGTATAAAACTATTGCTCAGTATAAAACTACTGTACAATATTTGTATGCTTTTTTATTTTATTTTTTCAATGAAAACATATTTGACTAGATTGATAAAGTGATTTTTGATATTTTGTTTAAAGTAAAATATATTATTTGTTCTTTATAAACTTATTTATAAATTTTAATAATGATTATATACACACCGGTCAAAATAGATGATGAACTTTGAAGCCCCTCGGGTTGTTTTTTAGACCATCTAGAAGGGGCAACTAATAACTAGTTATATTATTTAACAAAATATAAAACAGTTGTTTTCCCCCTCGGGTTGGTCTCATGATCAACCAGAGGGGCGTCAAAGTTCGGGAACCGTTTTGTATAAACCCAAATATTTTTTAAAGATTAGTTTTATGATTTTTTTCACTAACTTTCCCTGAATGGTATGGTTCTAACAATTTCAAAAAGGTATGACACAACCCTATGTCATTTCATCAAACTAAAATCTGGTTCAGCGTGGGTGTGATATATATATATATATATATATATATATATATATATATATATATATATATATATATATATATATATATATATATATATATATATATATATATATATACATATAAATTTTGTATAGTCCATGTTTACTTGTAACCAGGTCAATGCTTTGGAATGATTTCGGATGACTTTGGAATGATTTCGGAATATTAAACAAACATAAAACAAACATAAAACAAGATAATAAAAAGGTTTATAAAGTCTGAGAAAAATGTCCATCATAGAGAGAAATTAGAAAATGTAATTGTAAGGATGTTTGTGAAGATATATTTATATTATAAGTACTAAAAATTAATTTCTTTAGCACTATAATATTCAAAATACAAATTCTAGCATTTCATTTGTCGAAATTTAAAATTTAAAATTTATGCATGCTTTGTGATGTGTATGTGTATTCGTAAAGATGGAACATTTTTTTGCAATCCATATACATTTATTTCAAGTATGAGGAAAATTACAACTTTTTTTGTGCTAATATTTACAAAAAAATTTTGGCAATCAAATCAAGCATAAATAATATTGACTAAACTGAGGATAATGTTTAACTACAAAGACCAGAAAATGATTTCTATAAAAATGAATGTATAAATGTTTCAATTACACACAAAAGATCACAAAAAAATTAAATGATTTTTATATTTTTATTAGCAAATAATTGTAGTTTTTACCGTTTTTTATTTATTTTTTATTTTTTCCATGGTAACACTCCAATACATTTCACTCAATCCATAACAGTTTGTCTTAGTAAACAGTAAGTCTTAACTAAACCAGAATTACAGTAATCCTCCACTTTTAATACTTGTCAGACACTCTTGCAATACTTGTCAGATACTTGTCATAGCCCCATTCAAAACCTTGATGGCTGAAAGCTTGATACTGATGTTGTAAGTCAGAAAAACCATATAACCAGGGTAATTAAAAAAGTATATTCAAAAAAAAGTATAACAAACATTAAAAAAATTTCTTGAAAAGATGCATCTTTGTATAAATAAATATAAACATTATTTTGAACTTTTAATAAAATTTAAAACTTTATTTGTATTGCGGACTTGAATAAAGATTTTGAGGTCCATAGACTGAATTCAGGGTAAATTTGAAGAGCAAAATACATTCACGATTTAACTGCCTACCAGAGTTCAATAACTTTGCTAAAAACTGACAATAAAAAAAAAAAAAAAATTAAGGAGTCAGGTATATGTTTTACATATCTTGTGGATATTTTAACATTTTTCTTATGGATAATGAGATTTAGCCTCACTTAAATACTTTATACAAAAATAAAAAACAAAAAAAATAAAATATGACCCAGATTTTGTCAAGTATTTCACATAATCAGAATTAGAATTGAATTAGATATTAAATATATATATATATATATATATATATATATATATATATATATATATATATATATATATATATATATATATATATATATATATATATATATATATATATATATATTTATTTATTTATTTGCATTCACTCCCAACAAGGCTGCAAGCAACCACTATTAAGTTAGGAGTTACTAGGAAAAAAAAGAACAGAGTTATAGAGCAAGGAAACGGTTGACAGAAGACTTGAAAAGTTGAAGGTTGTATAAGTTGGGAAAACATGAAGATGGGAGAGAGTTCCAAAGGATTGAAGTGCGGTGAAAAAAACTAGATGAATAAAAGTTTTTAGAGCATGCAGGGACAGATACAGTAAACGAATGAGACTTAGCTGAATGACAAGTAAAACGAGAATGAATTTTAGTTGATGGAACTAGAGATGATAACTCCTTTGAGCAGTGACCATGATAGTATTTGTAGAAAAGAGAAAGAGATGCAACTTTACGACGATGGGAAAGAGGTTCAAGCTTAGCAGATAGTCCAGGTCCAACAACATTTACAATGCGTTTTTGGACCTTGCCAAGAAGAAAGTGAATCGTTAGAAGAACCAGCCCAAATATGATAAAAGTATTCCATACAGGGACGAATAAGAGATTTGTAGAGGTAGAGAATGGAATCAGAAGTAAGGAAATGGCGAGCACGATAAAGAGAAGCAACCTTAGCAGAAGCTAATTTAGCAATCGATTGTATATATGGTTTCCATCAAAGGTCAAAAGTAAGCGATAATCCAAGAAGAAGTAAAGAGGAGGACTCAGTAAGAGGATTGCCATTCATTAATATAGGAATGTTGACCATATTATGGTAGTTGTTTGCAGAAGAAACTGGGTTTTTTTAGAGTCGAAATTCACAAGCCACTGTGAACCCCAATCTATTACTGAAGTGAGATCGGATTCAAGATCAGCTGCTTGTGCTAGGCAATTGAAAAGAGAAGACTTTTTGTCAAGACAGGAGTATAAAGTTGAGTCATCAGCAAAAAGAGCTACTTTAGATGAAAGGTTGTCAGGAAGATCGTTTATGTAGATAAGAAACAAAACAGGGCCCAGGATGGAACCTTGGGAAACCCTAGAAGTTACTGGAAATAAAGAAGAGTGTTGGCCTTCAAGGATGACTTTAATAAATCGGTTAGAAAGAAATGATTTGATAATCTCAAAAACTTTCCCAGAAACACAATATGAAGCAAGCTTATGGAGAAGACCAGCATGCCAAACTTTGTTGAAAGCTTTAGATATGTCGAGAGCAACAGCCCTAGCCTCACCGCCTCCATCTAATGCATGATAAAATCTTTCAGTTACAGCAGTTAGCAAGTCGGCTGTAGAGCGAGAGGATCGAAAACCGTATTGATTGTCTGACAGTAGTTTATTTGACTCAAGATGAGATGTGAGGAATTTGTTGATCAAAGACTCAAAGACCTTGCTAATAACAGAAAGAAGACTGATCGGACGATAATTGGAGGGGTCAGAATTTTCTCCAGAGTTTTTGAATATTGGAACCACAGATGCCATTTTCCAACAAGCAGGAAAACAAGACTCAGTCAAACACTTGTTAAATAGTTTCGAGAGAATTGAAGAAAGTTCTGGAGAACAACTCTGCAAGACTGTGACAGGAATGTTGTCTGGACCACAAGCTGTAGACGAGTTTAATTGAGATATGACTTAAGCAACAGAAGCCGGAGTGATTTGAAGTCTAACAATGGGTCAACCTATATTAAATTTCATATAATTAATTTAAAAAATAATAATTACTATTAATAAAATTACGACAAAATATTTACTTCCAAAATTTGATGAGAGTTGAATCCAATCTGTCAGCCATAGACGCTGGGCATCAATGCATAAAGAAAGTTCATCCAGACCTCTAACATGAACTGCCTGTAAAAAAAATAATAGCATTATGTAAATCGTCTTTAAAACCTATAACCTTTCAGTAACCATACTAAAAAAAAATTAAATTGTATGTACTGTCTTTAAAAACTTCTGGTGAATAAAGAAAAAATTTTTTTTTTTTATTAACTGCATGTAACCTTGGTGTTTTATAATTTCCTGAAATTATCATAAAATTTTAAAATTTAAATAGACATTGTTTTCTACTTGAATGAATAAATATATGTAAATAATAAATATTTTTTAATTAACTAGAAAATTAACTTTAAATTTAACACTTACATGCTCAATACAACTTGGTGTAAGCTCATCAATACCATCCCGAAGTATCAAAGTATCATCTTCATGCAAGTGAGAAATTCTTTTTCTTAATGAATTAACTAAATACCAACGAGGCAAAAACCACCCAGTAGGTATTAACCAACACTGACATAATTTCACCTATTCAACAAATATTTAAAATTTAATGATTGAAATAATTATTTAACTAAAATTGATTTTAATTAAATAGTTAAATTAATCTATAATAAATTTAAAAAATAAATTTAAAAAATAAATTTAATTTTTAAGAACAATTAATAAATTTAATGAGGAATGTGAGAAAATTGACCAAATAATGAAAAAGAAAAAAAAAATCTTAAAAGTCAAATAAATTTCAAAATTTCACAAAATGAACAATTTTTTAATTCATACTAAAATAGTTTAAACAAAAAATATTTACATTTTTACCTTTTTTAATAAAAAATTAAACTTTCTTAATCCAAATGTTGAAAAATTTAATTTTAGAAAAAATAGAATTAGCTCTCATTAGAAAAACACTCTTCAACTTTTTTAAATAAAAGAACAGTTGCTACTGCTTAAATATGGAGTAACTTTTCCATCATATAAAAACCTTGTTTAACATAATTATAACTTTTCCAATTTAAAGTTAATTTTCTAGTTAATTGTAACTTTTCTATATAAAAACTAGGGATGGCAAAAATCGGGAAAATTTTCAATCCTGGGATTTCGGGATTGAGAAATTTGTGCCAGGGAAATCCTAAAAAATCCCGGAATTGAATAGAAAAAACACAATCGTAATTGAATACTTTTTAAGCACTCATCAAACACTTTAATTTTTAACACTTTAAAACAATTTAACAATTTAATGATAATATAACTAAAATATTTAATATATTAATGAACCTCTAAAATAAGGTTGAATCATGTTTTAACTTAATTTATTATTAAAACTTATCTAAGACTTTTAAAAATTAATAAACCTAAGTATTATAAATTATAAAACAATATTATTTGACTTTGATAGATTATTTGACTTAATGAATATCGCGGAATTTTTTTTTTTATGAATTAATACGATCAATTTTTTAAAAATTGATCTGAAATGTTGAAATGAAAATTGAACTGAAAACAAAAACTTTCTTAACTTTCAAAACAGAATTTAAATTATTTAACTTTTTACAAAAAAGAATTTCTAATATTCGAAAAAAACTAATTTGAATAAATTAAAAAGCAAAAAAAAAATTGTTACAAAAATTGATCTGATGAAAATTTTGACTTTAGAAAACATATTCGTTTAAATGCAAAAGTTATCATTTTTAAAATTTTATGTAAAAATTTATAATTTTTTTAAAACTAGTTAATAAAAAAAAACACTTGAAAATTAAAGGAGTTTCAAGTGAATTCGCGGA